GCACAACCCTACACACGTGCACTCTGGTTGGCTCCACACATTGCCTTACCTGTGCTGTTTCTGAGCACATTCTTTTCCCCACACTCACTCAATCACACACTCTTCTTCCTTTAGTACTCTTCAGCTTTTACAGCACAAAGATACTACTCACAAAGCTGAAGTCTCCAAGTTATGTTAGATGTGAATGTTACCAAGTAAGAATGCTGAAGATCAGTGTGTTTAGAAGCTACCTTGTGGCTGCAGAAAGAAAAGGTAAAGTGGAGTATGAATTAGTTAGTGGTCTATGAAATAGAACCATCCAATGGTTCACCTGAAAAGACAACGTGAAAGAACATCGTGTTTGAGTTTATATTATGCCCACATTGAACAGATGCTCCACTGTGTTCTTAAGATGAAATAACATTATCTAAGTAGTTGGATTCATAAAGCATTACTCAAAAATAAAATATCTGAAAGTATAATTTCTTTACATCATTTTACATTTGAAACTGGCTTTAGTATTTAAAGTCTATTCACTGAGAAATGGAATGAGGTAACATACTGTACATCAAGTTAAAGCTCATAATGTGGCAAATGCTCGATAGCTATAGACATGAAAGATGTCTTCAAATATCTGCCAAGAAAGCAATGTTATGGTTGCACCTGTAGAAGTATACAGTCCCTAAAATAAGCACAAATTTTACAGTACCCTTAAAAATCAGTCTCCTGAGGCAGTTTCTCTGCATGAATCAAAATCATTGTAACAGGAAAGTCAGTAAAAGAACTAATCTTACCTTAAAACAAACTACCATTTCTGTATAATACATGCACATTATATTTAAAAACTGTTGAGGATGGGTAGTGTCAGCATCAATTTTAACTTTGTGTAGTAAAGTACTTGTACTACATGCTTATTCTTTCTAATTTAGACTGTATTATATAAGAGGCCTATACATTGAGTTCAACTGAGGACAAATCAAGTGGCAGACATCTCTTCATAGTTCAAAGGGACTGCTCCAGTGTTGTTGAATCAGGAAAGTGTACCAATGGAGTCCACACAAAACAATTAATATGTAATTATTAGCAATTTGCAGTGGTCAAGAATGAAATAGTTTTCTGATCTCCAATACTGGGGCAACACTTACACATCCAACTCACAACACTCTTACAAAGCATAATACCAATTCCACAACCGGATCTATTCAGATCACTTTCACATACGTGAAAGCTCCAAAAGACTTCAGCAGACTGTTGTCAAAGATCATCTGGCAGCAGCCTAGATATGAATATGACATAAAACTGATACAAAGGGGATAACAATTCCCAAGGTAAAAAAAAGATAAAATATAAAAGGAAACATCAATGTGATAATCAGAGAAAATCAGAAAATGAAGAAGAAATTAAATGAGGGATTAAGGGATGTTTAAAAGCATATGTTTGGTATTTATATTACAGAATTTTAATTCATGTGGTTTAATTTATTTATTTTACTGAAATTTGTTTGGTGTCACTTATGATGCATCTGTAGAAATTATCTGAACTTATGCCAACAATTTTGGTCCTACTATAGGGGAAAACTAGTACCCAATTGCAAAGTCCAAGTATTCAATTGCAAAATCTGGTTTCAGCCACATTCCAAGGCAAGTATCTTGAGTCTAATAGATGATTTTGAAAGACATACCACCACTTTCAATAGCGACAAATTTGCAGTTGCAAATACAACTGATCTTTTAGCATTCTCATAGTCAGGATATCATTTGCATAGACTATGCAAATTGCATAGACTAAACTAAATTTGTCCTCAGTCAAATTCTAAATCCTATTCCAAACTTAATTTAAACCATAATATCTTCATTTCTTTTAAAACTCAAAATGGCAAGATCTGTAGTAAAGCACTGTCCTTGGTGGATCATTCTTACTGCCAATACTACCAATCCATAGAATATGTTTAATCCATGGTATCTTTAGTCTCTCCCTAGGATTAGTTTTCATGATTCAGATAGAAGGAAAGTGTGACAAACACTTGATTTCTGTGTGAACCACAGAAATCAGGTCTATAATTATCATTAAAAAAAAAGTTGGTTTTGATATGTCTTATGTTTCCAGTAACAGATTGCTATTGACAGAATTTTCTTTCTTATATACATATAAAGATGTTTTATCTAAACTCTTAAAACCAGTAACAGTAAGGCTCAGGAAATAAAACAGAAATCAAAAGAAGGCTCATCCTTTTACATCCTGTGAAAAATGTTAAAACTGGCTACTAAAATAATAATTAAGGTGTTCCCTAAACTCTTATCTCAGAGTTGTACTTTAGTATATAATTTACATACACATATCTTAAGGAGATACACTGTCTTTTAAGAAATTTTACATTTTTTTCTTCTACCCTTTGTTCACAGTGAAAATATTAAGTACTCATTCTGAAGAATCAGTTCTAATTTAATCATTAATTTTACTACTTTATAACTCATTTATCCCAGTAAAAGCAATATTAAAATTTATATTAAATGGAAAATGAAGCTTTTTAAAATCGAATTTTAGTTCCAAATACACATAAGACTGCTAAAACTTTGTCAGTACTCTACAGTCCCACTTGACCTGTTGAGAATGAGATGGACCCAGCACCATCCCTGAAAATTCACACAAATAAAAAACCTTGAGATAAAGCTGAAAACTGTATGATATATATAGAGCTACAATGCCATCATGTAAGTCAACTAAGATTACATGAACAGTTCTTCAGTGAAGTTAGAAAGCTTGCACAAGCATGGTGGAAAGATGAAATTTGTTGCATTAATTATTTAATTTAATAAGACAACAAATGAAGCAATATAGCAAAAGCAAAATAATAAAAAAAAAATAAAAAGCAGCTTTTAGGTGATTCACATGGCCATAAGCTGAAGAGACATAATCTATCAGTACTAGCAATAGACAAATCAGATAACTCCTAAAACTATAACAAGACTTTTCTCTTCTTCCTGAGAAACACTGAATTACCACAGTAGAAAACATTTTTTCTTCCGTGAAGGAATTTGAAAGACTTGGATTTGTTCCCAAACTCAGAAAGTAGGGAACTTTAATAGAACAATGGACAGATCAACTCTTACCGTGGTTCACCTTTAGAAGCGGTAACAATGGAAAAGATATTAATTTACAGCACACTTATCCTAAACACCAGTCCCATCAATATTTTAACAGTCGTCATCAAAAGACCAGTAAAACCTGAGCCTCATTACACTGAAAGATGTGAAGCTGTTAACACACATCTCAACAAGAAGTTGAATTACAGAATCAATCACCCCCAGGCTTTGATTTGAAATCGCCTACATTTATTATCTCTCAGGACATAGTTCAGTAACCATTTCCTCAGCTGCTATCGGGAATGAGCAGTAGTTACTAGAAAGTAGTAACTAACGCCCAATATACTAACTTTGGGAGAAATTCCAGAATTCCAGGAGGAAAACTTGATTTTATTCTGTATAACTGCATTTTTTTTTTTATAAGTGCATTTTTTTTATTTATCTTCCTAAAATTTGGGAAATCGAAATTACTATTAAGGAATACTATATCACTGGTGAATGCTTCTCAAGACTACCTGCATACATATATTTGACGACTTTCATACTAGTTGTATGAGGGGAAAAAAACAAAATACAAAAAGGAAAAAGTTTCAACAGATACTTATCAAGATGTGCAATTTAAATAATTTACAATTAAATACATGTAAATATTTAATTAATTGACATAGACTGTTCAATAAAGAAAAGCACTCAGAGCACTGCTCAGAAAAACAACTAAAAGTTCCTTTCTTGACTTTTTCTAATTTGAAGCTTACTGAGTCTCAGTGACCATTCCGATGATCTTCCTCAAGTACAAATTCTATCTCACAAGCTGTCTGAAGACAGCTTGTCAAAATAAAGACAAATAAATAAAGACAAATAAAATAAAGACAATTCCTCATTAAAACTTTCTTTTCCAGGGAAAAAAAAGAAATTGAAGGCGTCCTGTCTAGCTCTAATAAGATATTTTTGTTTGAATCCATCCCCCATATAGATACCATTTGATTGTAGCCATACACAGAAAACATATCCCACCTGCGCAGAAGCTGAGCAACAGAACCCAAAGCATATGGAAACCACTAGGCTTAAATACAGAGCCACCATAGTGATTTCCTACTGCTGCCAACATGTACATTTAAATGCAAATCTTTTGTTTGCCCACAGACTGTCCTTGCACCATTTCCTATGTGCAAAAACAAAACAGGCACACATCTGTGCTTTTGACCTCAGCAGAGCCCTTAGGAATAGCTTAAATGCTACCTTCTGCTGGCCCTCTTAAAACTAGGAGGTTCAACTCTTAAATTGCAAACAGCTCCAATGCATATATTTAGTAACAGTAGAAGAACCACAGTCTGAAACAAAAGCACTGAAATAAAAGTGACAATACCAGGCCCCACTGTAATTTGGCTCCAAATCTAGTAATGCATTCGTTCACCATACACCCTCTTTAAAAACAGAGCAATGATCAGCTTACATGTGTGGATGTTTTCAAATAGCCCATAATCAATCTTATAGTCTTGTAAAGGGTCATGAAAATGATAATGACTGTGATTAACATTGTGTGCTACCTATTATAAGTCTACTCCACCCATATCAACCTACAGATCTGTGATTATTTTAGAGGTATTTTCCAACCTAAATGATTCTATGATTTTATCATCTGCTCTTTTTTAAAGGTAGCTTCCAATAAGAAATATTAGGCCTGACTAAATGCATAAGGTTCAAGAGCCAACATTTTGGAACGAAGCCTTCAGATGAAAACAGTGGAGAGGGCTCAAGGTTTTTTATTGCCTTCTCTGCCACCACACCTTGCAGTAATCACTTTTTCCATTTACCTTTGGAAGTCAACCAGACATAAGAGCAAAATTTAATCACTGTTTACTTCTCATGTGGAATTACCTTCAGTAATTATCTCAAGTATTTCTTGGACTCACAGGTACACTCCTGTTTAGCACAGTTCCTCATAAAGCGTAGCTTGGTCAAGTCTCCAATGTTTCTGCCACAAATTACTATGTTTTTCTACAGTCAAAAAAGATGTGCATTATCATACAAACTCTTCTGCTAGATTTATGTAGTGTCATATCAGAAATAGATAGGCTCAAATAGTCAGTAACTTGGCTACACAAACATAACAAAATAAACATAATAAACAAATGACCTGTTCAGTGGAATCGAGTACCAAGTCTAGCCAAGCAGACTTCCGTTAGATTAGGAAAGAAGATTGCTTAAATGACATTCTATCATTCTATTTTTGATGCATCTGAAAATAATACAACTCTTTTTATTAACCTGGCTTCTAAGAAGTAAGTTCTGCCAGAAAGAGCTGCATAGTTTTAAGGTAAGGCCACTATCAACTCTTTGCCTCAGCCCACTGCTGGAAAACATATTCCACAGCAGATTTAGCCAAACAGAACATGAACCTATCTCTTGGCAACTCGGTTCATGGTCCCATTTCCTCTGTACCTTAAACTAAGACTCTGGAGCAACTGATATTTGTTAAAGGCTTGCTGCTGCTCTGGGGGTGATAATATCTTAACCATAGGTAGACCTCCAAAACTATTTGAGTATTTTCTCAGCTTTGAGTCAGTGAAGTCCTATTTTTCCAAGAAGCCCAAGTCCTCAAAACCTAGGCATATTTTACCCTTTTTTATTCAGAAAACTGAACGAGGACCAATGAAGAACCTACTTCTACTACTACAATCTTCATCGAGCCACACTTCTAATTTTCTTTGCACATAAAGCAGGATTTCACTGCAATCACTGGAAGGCATAACTTTACCATAAACAAGACTAGTAAGTCATATAGTCTCTCCAAACTACATCTACTAACACTAAAAATAGTCTACTACCAGAATTAAATCAAAACTTGAATAGTGTTACGGCAATGAATTTGTAACTAAGGAGGGGAAAATACTAAGGACCCAAATGTGAAATGCATATTTCATGGGAAGAATATTTATGAATATAAAACAATGGGAGATCCCATTGACAAAGCCCTACTCTAGAGGCTTAGAAGCTTAAACCTAAATTTAAGATTACATAATCTCAAAGAAAATCTGAAATACACAACAGTGATCTTAATTCATACTTACTTATTTCATAAAGTCTCGACAAATCCTTTGGGTTTTATGTTGCCTCTATGACAGAGGTAAAAGAATTTTGCATTAGTTTAAAAAAATCTTCAGGTACTTTTGATGAAGTTACGTATCATCAATATAGCTTTATTGTAGAAGCCAAATAATATATGCTCAACAGTTATGTAAAGTACTCCTTTTTCTATCTTGCTAAAAGAAATTCAATTTTAAGCAAATCCAAACCAATCACAATTCACTGAACACAAAAATCACAAAAAAATCATGCAATTCTCTTAATATATAAAAATAAGCATGCTCAGATATCTACTTTCAAATGAACATAGCTGTTATTTAATTGATTTTCCCTTTTAATTAACAGGTGACTATTATTTATCCCCTTTTATAAGCATTTGATACTAAACCCTATCTTTACTGGCAGGGTCACTTTTACCAGACATCAAAGCAATGGTAACTTTACTTTTGATCAAAGTCAAAATTATAAAGATGGATTGGCATACAGTAATAGTGCAATTGCATATGGATCATACATGTTGTTCAACGATAATAAACCAAAGGAAAAGATACTTGTTGGCAGCTGCAGCAGTGCTCTAGATTAACCTGAAAATTGGGGAGCCCTGTGGATGGTGCATGCAATCCTATCATAGTGAGCACGCACATTTATTCTGTTCAAAGCGCAGCTTACAAAAGATTCAGGTGACAATGTGGCTCTAAGGGAAAAGACAATGTGGGACTTACTTTATAAAAGCTCCTTTACACAGAAGTACAATTTAGAAATATGTAAGAGTTCCATTTTTTAAAGTTCTCCCTGTTCAGTGTTTACCAGAAGAGAGTTCATGCATGAATTGTCAAGCCTCTTGCATATTTTTTGGCACTTAAAAGTAATGCTGGCATTTTCATAACTGCTAAATCATTAGAAAGATGATATTTCAAGTCTGCAAGGAAGTTAGCTTGGCACTGTTCTCACTTGCATACTTACCTAGAGTAATATTTTTCCTGCCAAATAATATAAAATCTCAGAAGAATCACTACTCCCTTGGGTAGTAAATCACTTTAAATAAGAACTAACACAGTGAATCCTTATCTGTTCCCTAAACCAAATGTTCTTATATTCAAATATGTTTAAGATTTTTTTCTAGGTTTGGGAAAGGTGCTAACCAGGCTGGTTGTCAGGTTAACCTTTCCAACCTCAACACTACAGTTACTGAAAATTCTGCTGAAATGGTGACTGGGCCTACAGCTGCAGGCAGTCTTTCACCCAGCTACAATGCAGCACTAGAGGGATGCATTCTCAAGACACTGTTCACTTTTTGTCCTGGTTTAGCTGTTGAATACCAAAGAAATGTTATAACTGTGACAGAACAAATGATCATCTAGAATAATTGTAACTAAAGACACTGGTTTCCCCAAAATAAAGTAAATAACTTGATGTGCTATCTGCAGAGGTGAGAAAAAAATTTAAGTATCCATTCTTCTTCAGAGCAAATGTTAAGTAGAGGACTGAAAGTACTTCCAAAGGAAATATTTCTTTTTTATAAACCATCATAAACTAAGAGTGGAAAAGAAAGTCACATACAACTTGCCAGAACGTAGTTATTGAACACTCTAGTTTCTAATCTCGGCAATAATGTAGGTCAAGGGAACTGGAAAATCTAATTACTCTGTAAATTTTTAAACCTGTTTCTTTCTTCTCAAGGAAAAGAAAATTGTTCCCTCACATTTAAGCAGACTTCACTTTAAAGTGTAACTACAGCTAGGTGGAAAGCTATTTTTGCCTGAATGTAGAGGTTTTTGAACCTCCTTTAAAGTAACTTTGCATCCTGCATTGTACACTCAGCTCTGGTTCACACTTGTTCTCAAGGTATTATGAGTTACATCACAATTACTATAGCTAAAATTCAAAATCCAGAGACACTCTTCAAAAAAAAAAACCCAAAACAAAACAAAAAAAAGTCTCTGAATAAAATAGATCTTTGGTACCACACTGTAGCAGTTCCTTTCAGTAATATATCCCATGCAATCATAATCTGATACTCAGTATTCACACACTGCATTAACAAAATACAAAGCAATGCATCATTATAGAACTATTATGAACACAAGTATCTGATAGCATTGTAAATATTATTCACTTATTAGTTGACTGTTTCACACAGTTAATGCTGACTTCAGTGTATACACAGACCATATAACTTAAATTTACAAGACAGAATAATTTTGAAAAATACAAACACCTTGAAGATTCAAGCCTCCCGATGACTCTAAAAACCAAGGACCGTTTAAGAATCACACCTCCAAACAAAAAACCAAAATAATTTCAGGCATTTACAGTGAATCTCAACTTCTCTCTCCCAAAAAAAAAGGAAAAAAAAAAGAGGAAAAAAAGGCTGCACCTCTCAAAACAAAATCCCTCAAAGTTCAAAGGTCCTAACACTTCACTTCTTAGGATTCATCTAGCATTATTTTTTTAATGTTTTTCCATATTCACAAAGTTCCATTTCTTCTATTCTGTTAAATAAAAGCCCAAGTACATATAGGCAGAAGTTGGGGCTTTCACAAAAACAAAGAAGGCCCCAATGAATTGACAAGCCATTGGAATTGTTATCGTGTTTGAGGATATGTGGACTAGAAACTGTAACTAAAGCCAGCCTACGAACTGGCCCATCTCACAAATCTCCATCTTCCAGCTCCTACCTCTGAGCTACGTGACGAAAGTTTCACAACAGACAAATTTGTGTGTTGTGTTCGGATTTGGCAGTCAAATGTTTTGTTTGTTTTTGGGAGGCGGGAGGGGTGAGTTGTACAGAAGTGGAAAACCTGGCCTAAGGTAATCTGATCTTTGGACACTGCTCTCATTAAGTATAAATCCTACTTTTGAACTTACTCCAATTGCATAAGAGGTGAAGCCTCCCAAACAAACAAAACAAAACATAACAGCAAAAAGATAATTCAGAAAGATCTATATTGAAGACTTAAAATGGGTTTATCTTAAAAGGTAAAGCCTGAAGCAGTAAGCTTAAGGAACAACCCAAAGTAAAATGAGTTCCATCATGGTCTATTATAAAAAGCAAGATTTTTTTTTGCTATATGCCTTTGATGAATGACATTTACTGTTTATAAAGATGTGTCTTCTAAACTACATGGGAATACAGCAAACCATACCACATCTCCTTTTCTGTATCATGGATGAATTTAAGAATCAAGTATCAAAACCATTCCTGAGCATTCTCAAAGCTTTCAGATATCAACACTATAAACTTTGAACTAAAAATTTCAGACAGTTCTTCCCTCACAACAATATCAATATCAAAAAAAAAAAATAAATAAATAGATTTATCCTGACTGAATAGATCCATTAAATTGCTAAAATCACATGTAGCTTGAGGACTGACTCATGACAAGTAGTAATAAATGAGACTTGGATCTTCACTGAATGAGGAGGAAAAAAAAAGATATCTGCCAGTCCATCTGCAAAGTGGAAAAAGTGGCAGGGGCCTTCTTAAAAAGATATGTTTATACAAGTGATTAATGTGTAAAAGCAAATTAAAAACTGAGTTTCTTAATCTTTGGGTGTTTGACTTTACAGCTTAATATAACTTCACCCAAAATAACGTAACTCAATAAAATTGTGCTTTCCTTTCTTCAACTTCTACAGTTCTTAAGCGTGACATTGGACTGAGTTATCACATTTAGTTCATGTACTGAAGAACAGAAGGTCCAAATTTCACTAAGAACCAGAGCAACTAATGATGATAAACCTATGCACTTCAATGAACCTATGCACTTCAATGCATTCCACAAACAGCATATAAAAGGTCTGACTCATTACAGATCAAAAAACTGTCAAAAAATAACCCTGGGATGAAAAAAACAAGTAGGATAGAAGTCTAAAACACATTGGTCCACTCTAAAAGCACAAAAGAGCCTGCTAAACACCAGTAAGATTCAGATGAAGGAAGAAGTTTATGAAACAGTTTGGATGGGTGATTTCTACAGTCACACATCACCATAATAAGGACACACTACCTTCTGTCTGCCAACGCAATTGAGCAATCTTTCACGCACAAGCACTAAATTTGTTGATGGCTACTTGCAGTTGACAGAAATTTGGGTGCATTGAAAAGAGTAGCATTTCCTTGTTTTGCTTTTGGATTCGGTTTCGTGGGATTATTTTTTTTAATGACAATGAAAACACCAGGGCTTTCAGAATGCCAGATGATAATAAAGGTATGAGGATAGCAGATCTTTTCCTGGCTTGCTGGCAGCACTGGGAAAGCCTTTTGTCTATCCTTAGCTCCCAAACAGTATTATACAAACAAAATAAAAAAGGCGTGAGCTGCCCGCTTTCCCAGCCTGCAGACACCCTATCTTCTAAAAAACACGTTATTCCAAAAAAGAATTTAACTTACACTGCCAAAGCTACACTCTTATTACGGCACTTGAGACACGTGCATCCCCCCCGTACCGGGCAGGGAAAGCAGACCTAGGCCAGGCTCGGTGCCACGGCAGCTGCCGGCACAGAACGCATCCGCCCCGCGCCCCGAGAGCCGCGCCGGGCACGGCCTCGGGCCCCACGCAGCGCCCGCCCCGCGGGGCCCCGCCGCTGCCGAACCGCACCCGCCGTGACCGGGCCTTGCCTCCCGCCCCTCCCGCCGCCGGCCCCGCCCGGCGCCTGCGCGGAGCGGCGCGGCGGGCGCAGGAATGCGCGTTACGGTTAAATAGTGGGGGCGCAGGGGCGGCCGCCGCGGGCGGGCGGGGGCAGCTCGGGGTTCCGGGGGAGCCTCCATGGCGTGGCGCGGCTCCTGGGGCGGCGGTGGCAGCGCCAGCAGCAGCAGCAGCGGTGGTGGCGGCGGCGGCGGCGGCGCGGCGCTGTTGTGACAGCAGCTTGGCAGCTGGGACTGGCCTGCCTCCTGCCCCGCTTCCGAGCGGGGGGCCCGCGCCGGTGTCCCGGGGGCGCGGCGGCGGCGCTCACAGAGAGGAGCCGTGGCGGCGGCAGCGGCGGCCGGGGGCAGCCGGCGTGTCACCGCCTCTATGATGAAATTCAAGCCGAACCAGACGCGGACATACGACCGGGAGGGCTACAAGAAGCGGGCGGCGTGCCTGTGCTTCCGCAGCGAGCGGGAGGACGAGGTGAGCCCGCCGAGCCGCCGCGCACGTGGGGCGGGGGGCGCCGCGCCCGGCCCGGGCCAGGTTCCCGTTCCGCCGCCACCGGCGGGACCCCTTTGTCTGGCCGGGAGGCGCGGGCGTCTGCCGGGGGACACCCCCTGCGCACACAGTCATGCCGGGGCTCCCTCCGCGCCGAGACGGGGAAGGGGGTGACACGCCGGGGCCGTGCGCGTCCCTGCCGGCCGGAGCCGGCGGCGGGCGGTCACCGGGCGGTCCGGTCCGTGCCGTGCCGGGGGCGGGGCGGGCGCGCCTCTCGCCCACCATCTTGGGGCGGCGGGGCGCGCGCCCACGTGCGCGGCGCCGACTTTGTGCGCGGCCCCGGCGCCCCTCGGCAGGGAGGGAGAGCAGGGAGGGAGAGCAGGGAGGGAGAGCAGGGAGGGAGAGCAGGGAGGGAGAGCAGGGAGGGAGAGCAGGGAGGGAGAGCAGGGAGGGAGAGCAGGGAGGGAGAGCAGGGAGGGAGAGCAGGGAGGGAGAGGCAGCTCGCTCGCTCGCTCCCGGGACACGACACGACACGACACTGGCTGGAACTCCAGTGTTATCCTTTGTGTGCCCGCAACGCGCGGAAAACCGGTTAATGTATAATGGCGCGTGGAGGGCAGGGCTGATGTGTCACCCTGAAGGCGAACTCTGTGCCCCCCATGGGGTAGGATAATAAAAAAGTTGTGCTCGGAAAACTCTATTTTCCCACCAAGAGAGTAAAACAGGGCTTGGAAGTATTTTGTCAGGATGCTCGGGAGCCGGAGGGGTGGTGTTGCGAGTTTGGTTGTAGGAGGTAGCACTCACGCGGGGTTTTATGTTGCAGCAGAATCGAGAGGTGGCAACAAAGTTGCCCCGTGTTCCGAGCCAAGGTCAATGGCACTGCCCGTTATCTGGGTACTCGGCTGATGGTTTCATTGCAAAATTCGTTAATAGGTGGGTCTCAGGCTGGAAGCATACCATTTTTTGATTTCTGTTTTCATTTTGTTATTTAGTAGCTATGAAATAACTACAAAGGTTAGGGTTTGGGCTTTTTTCTCCCCTTTATCTATATGCTGGAAGATGTTGGTGTCCTCCCCAAGCTGCCAATACGGCAGATGTCTTGCTTAAATATCTACTAAGCAATATAATGCAGCAGGGAGAGGCCTGATCTCAAAATACAGACACTTGAGTTTAGGCAAAAAATCTGTATGGTGTTCTAGTATATGCCATTCCCTGTGTGGTATAAATACAACCTTGGGACCATGCTGATCAGCTCTTCCTAATATTATAAGGGAGAAAGGCCCTCAGCAGGAATCTTGCAAGGTTTTGCTATTGGTCTAGCTTTGCTTTGGTTTCTGATACTCCAGCATGCTTCTCCATTTATGTGACTTTAGTATTTATTTTTGGATGCTACTCCAGCTCAGACTTATTTGGAGTTCAAACACTTCAGCCACTGTAACAGCTTTCTTGCACCAACTGAAGTTGGAAATTCATTGTTGAGGTCACCTTTGTCAGTAATTTCCATTCATTCTTCATTTCCTGATGCAACTTCATGTTATTCTCTTTGAGTCTTGCATCCATATGAGATCACTGGCTGCTTCAAAATACTGTTGTGTGTAATAACATCCTCTGAGGCTAAGGATGGTGGTAGCAGCTTTGCTGGGCTGTAAGAGTGGATGCTGACACTTATTGGATTAGAGTCCATTGTGGTATTGCAGATAGAGTACCTGTATGGCTGGCGTGAGGCTGGGCTTTGGCATCATGCAAGTTGACACACTCAAGGGTGAACTAAATGGGATAACACCACGTCAGATTTAGGACATAGATTAAGTGTGTAGAAACAGTTCAAATTGCTTTCTGACAGGTTATTTCCAAGCAAGCAGTGAGAACAGCTTGAACTTGCTTAGTAGCTGTTTCCTAAGTGCCAGCTTCACTTGTATCAGTACAGAACCTATTCCTTAGAAGTTTGATGCCTGAATGCTGTTTGTGATTAACTTGAGTCACCAGCCACGTTCCCAAAATTGGCTGGATAAGGCTTGCTTCTGTGTTCTTGAACACTGTTGTCCTGGTAAGTTTCTATGTAGATCTACTTCAAACTCCATGTAAGTGTCTTCAGTGTTTCCTTTTTAAGTCTCTAGAGATCGTACCACTGACCTGCATCTCCAGGGTCTTAAAGTGCAGGGTGACTTCCAGTATGAAGGAACACAAATGTGGTACCTGGGTGACTGTGACAAGAGGGGAACAGGAGACTGCTGCAGAAGCTGTTGGGTGCTGGGGAGGAGAAGAACCACAAGGCAGAATAGATTTTTTAGTTATTTTGATTTAGAGGATTACTACCCCATAAGCAAATAGTTGCTTGACATTAGAAGAGAGAAAATAGAACAGACTGAAAGCAATTTTTAGCAATATATTTCTTTTTAAGAGTCTTAAAAGCAAGAAATCCAAATCCCAAGTTTTTGTTTTTGTTGTTGTTGTTTTTTTAAACTAGAGATACTGTCTGCAAGACTCAGTAGCTCTTGTTCTACTTTTCAGCTGATTAGTTTCTCTCTGGAGGAATGAGTATCTACAGCAATCTTCTGATTCAAATCCTAGAATTAACCTGTCTTTCTACTTCCATTCTGACTGTCAGAAAGGCCAGTCTGTATCCAGTTGTGCCTGTGCTTTAGCTTCTTTTTCTCCTTTCTCACAGTTAGCTTTCTGACATATCTGTAGACAGCAGTCATTCCTTTCTTAGCATTTTTTATGAACTTGAAGTCTTAAAACCCCTTCTCTTAAAACCAGTTTTCTCTTTTGATAATCATGGTAGGTCTTGCATCTCCTTCAGTTTGACAGGCATATTTTTTAACGTGGGAAACACTTGTGGTCGCTTTAGATGGGATCTCACTGTACTGTGTAAAAGGTTACTAATACTTCTCTAGCTATAGCAGGAAAAAATAATTTAATAGGACCCATCTTTGTCATGACAGTAAAGCTGTCATGTAGTCATCTTGTGCTCACTGGTGATATCTATGTAACTTGTTCCCACTTTTTGAACTCTCAACTTGCACCAGGAATTCACAGTATTTTGTTCTTAACTGAATGTGATCCTTCTTTTGCAACTTCAGCTTGATATCCCCTGTTGATATCATGACTTATGGGTACTGCCTCTCAATTTAGAGACCCACATTTTCAGTAATAGCCTTTTATGCTCATTGACAAAAATTGGGCAAGTTACTAAAACATTAATGTCTCTATTGTTCATCTATCAAAATCTGCTTGTTATGGCTTCTTGGTCCATTTTCTAACCATATTGCACTTCTTATGCTACCTTTGTATCTTTGCTGATGCCAGTGTTACAGCTGAGTTTTCTGGACAGTGAAGTAACATGTCAATTGAAAAATTGTGGTAGCAAAGGATGGGTTTGACCAAACCCATCTTTTACATTCCATTGTACATCTATTTATTCTGTTATTATTATACATCTATGCATCTATTTATATTTGTTTTCTGTTTTCTTACTTATTTCTTAATTTGAAACACAGGTGGGCTGTAGAATACTGCTGAGGCAAAATTCAGTCTGGTGGTTCCTGCATACAGTTTTAAATACAGCCATTGAACTCCTACTCTCTGGCTACAGTACCCTGTCCACTTAGACTTACCAACTTTGCTTCCAAACTTAAAATTCAGTTCTCTTGAGTGTTACAGGCTGGAAACTGGTCTTGCCCACAGTCCTGCAACCTGTCAAAAGCCTCTGCTTTGTCTTGAGAGCTGGTATTGTAGCCGAAAGTACGTACCTGCAATGACTGATGGTTGTGCAGATGGACCACTGTGAAAGTCCTCCCTTCCTGTTTCTTCATCTTCAAGTGCCTCCACACGTGACACTTTAATGCTGTATAGTCCAGTTTGGTTTAGATTTTGTAGCCTTCATGGTGTGATATTGTATGATTTAAAAAGAAAAATATCCTAAAGGAAGCCCAAATAGTCAAGTAATGTGGCCAATAGCTTTGGGATTTTTTGAGTGTTATAGGAGATCTTAGGCTGCTGTCATTAAAGTGTTGCCCGATTTGGTCTCAGTGCTGTTGGGCTGAAGAGAGAGCAAGATGCCTGGATATGAGCTTAAGTGCTGGCTCCTTTTGTTGTTCTTAATGGAAATAAAACAGTAATTGCAGGCATTATCTGCCCTTTGAATGAAGAAAAAAAAAAAAAAAAAAACAGAAATGAAGCAGGAGAAATCCTATGAAAAAATGAAACAAGGCTATGTGGGCATGAAGTGTGTGGTGGCTGCAGGCTTTTTGCTTTGAACAAACAAGAAGCTGTTAGATGTGTGCAAAAAGCTGATGGTATTCAGCAGGCTGGGATGGGCTGGTGGATCAGTATATGAGGAAATGCAAGTTTCTCTTGAGCAACTAGAAGTAGATGGCAGCTTTAGAATAAGCCTGCAGGAGAGCCCCTCTTGGT